TGTTTTTACGCGCCGCATTCGGGGAGACAGGGAACCTTCAAATTTAGCGCTTTTCTTATTTCTGTTTAGGTGGCGCTAGGAGACAATTTTCGTTGTAGTGACAGGAATAATGTAGATTTCTCAATATTCCTGCAGTTCTTGTGTGCAATTCGTGTGCATAAGTATACCAGGAGACCGTAACTGTTATATTTTAGGCTATGCATGCTTATATTTCAGCGCTATTTCAAGATAACAACGATTTTGTTGATGTTTACAGCATGATAAATTAAGACAATTTGCGAGCTTTGTTTCGCATTTCTGCTTGCTTTATTGAAAAACGCTACGTTGAGGAAATAGATCAGGGGTTCTAGTTTATCCACGTGCAAATTCAGCTAATGAACTTCAGTAGTTCTCCGCAAAAATGGGCCACGGTAGGTCAATCTAATGAGAAAAATGCCCAATTTAGATCAATATAATTAAAAAGTGAGCGGGCGTACATAAATAAAATTGAGCACTCAAACGGCAAATGCCATCCTCTATATACAGCCAGAAAATGAATTTTCTCTAGCGAATAGGTGCCGGATAGTCCGCATCGTCATTTACTAAATTTGGCTCTTTTCAAAAGCTAATCAGCAATACAGTAAAAGTGCTAGAATAATTTTCTACGTTGAGGAAATAGATAAATATGTCTTAAATGTTCTGCGCAAAGAACAGTGCTGTAACTGCAGCAGATTTTTCAGAAAATGGTCACTGCTGACACACAGTCAGACCAAACCATGTAACCAGCGCTTATTCTTGGCTTTCCCTACCCAAATGCTAAGAGCTTACTTATTTCTAATAGATATCTTTAAAATTTACAAAAATTAAGCGTTTCAATGACACATAAATCAACTATATAGGACAAGAAGAACAGCAGCCACGTCAGTTGGAAAAGTGGCAAAAACGATGTGTTCGTGCCGCCGGAGTGAGACCGCCGCCTTAAGGTATCAATAACGCATGACGATTCATGCAGCATTATCATGCGATGTTTCAACGCCTTATCCCGTGCAAGCTCTCCACCACATCTGGCGGCTCTGTTGATCAGTCTAGGCTTGCTGCATACTCTCCGGTTGAGTGCCCCATTCTGCGACGCAATGCTCGCCAAAGTTGCCTCGTGAGAAACACGAAAAATAGCCAAAAGACATCCAACTTCAGCAAAAGACAGTAAATGTAGCCAAAAGTAGCCTCGCGTGTTTGGAAACAACCTTGAAGTGTTTTTCTAAATGAATATGTGAAAAAAGTCTTCCGGTAGAAATGTAAAGTAGGGTACAAACCATTCAAAATCAGGTTTGCTTAAATTCAAGCATAAATTGTTTACTTTGGCAATTATTTTGTGCAGAATGACGAAGTTTCTTGCGCTGCTGCAAAAATCAGAATGTCTTCACGCGTCTTGCATGACACTTTTCAAAAGGACTTGATAACTAGATAATGACAATGAAAAAATAAACTATATACGGCGTAAGCGGTCTCAAAACTGCAGTTGCTTCGATTGAAAGATAAAGATGTAGTCACTTTCACAATTATTCACTTCGTGGTAATCAAGTTCGACAATTAAATATTTAAGAGTCGGCAACCGTGCCTACAGCACTATTAATAAATGAGAAGTAGTTTATCGGCTATCCAACTTCTAATTACTGCAGAGCATCCTAGAGATGCGGTGTGCTTTCGAGTATGTTGTTTCTTTACAAATCATCAACGGGTGCACACGATATCGTTGCAGTGCTTAGACGGGATTCTGACTTAGAGGCGTCCAGTCGTAATCCCACGGATGGTAGCTTCGCACCGCTGGACTCTCGACCAAGCACATGAACCAAGTGCCCGAATCTGCGGTTCCTCTCGTACTGAGCAGAATTACTATCGCAACGACCGGTCATCAGTAGGGTAAAACTAACCTGTCTCACGACGGTCTCATCAACGGGTGGCTTGTGAAATAAAGCACCTCGCGAACGTTCACCGTGTGCTCAGCAGCACCCCCGCCACACAACTGCCGGGGGGGGGGGGGGGGCGGAATCCCGCTCTCTCTTATTAGCAACCTCAACGACACCACTGTACGAGAACTCACAGTTTCTCACCAATCACTGGCAATGCGTCACGCTCCCCCTTTGAGCGGGAGTACGTGCAGGTGACAATATTACCGAAGCCGGGCAAAAGAAACGCCAGATAGAAAACATCTGTCCAACCAATATCCCTCACCTACAGTCATGGTAAACTCTTCGAGCACGTCATCGCTATAGCCACCTGCAAGATTACTTCGAGAACAATGATCTTGTCCCGCATTCAATGTACGGATTCTGGGCACATCTTTCTACGCAGGGCTTCAATAAAAAGAAGTCAATGATGCCACCCCATGGCAAAGAGGAGACAATATTTCCATTTTGACAACAGCGGCGCCTTTGATGACGTTAACCACCAGGTCATACTTAAGGCCATACTAAGCGTAAACATATCTACAGTTACGTTTAAGCATTCCTGACGAACCGTACCACCATGGTCGGTCTTGGCTCCATCCGATCAAATATTATTAAGGTTCAGAACAAAGGCACACTGCCGAGCTCAGTGATTTCCCTGCTACTCAATATCGTAACTATGTTTAGCCTGGCATACGAACTCCGCTCCCTCGACGGCATCCATCATGCAAAGTGCGCGGATGACATCACCATATGGACCTCGTAGCGATGCCTTGGAAGAGAAAAAAATTGGCATATCCCACGTACAGTGAGAATCGATGATATGCGAAGCACGAATGAAAAATGTTGATATGTCACTTTAAAATCAGCATAACGTTACGAGGTGGAGGTAAGTGATGCCATACATGACTTCTGTGTCATGATTATCATGTTTGGATGTGTCGTTTACATTCGTAATCTATTCACGTCACGTGATACGAAATTTAGTATATGTGGAGCTAGCGAAACGGCTGCGAGCGCATCATCAGTGTTAAATGTAGTCATGTTGTTACAAGACACGCATGTCATGATTATCATGTATAGGTGTGTCATTTACCTATATCGTCCGTTCGCGTCGCGTAATACCGAGTTTGGTACATGTGAAGCTAGCGAAACGGCCGTGAGTGCATCATGAGCGTAGCATGTAGTCACGTTGTTACACGACACGCATGTCATGATTTTCATGTTAGGGTCTGTCGCTTGTGTTCGGCATGCAATCATGCCATACCATACCAGTTTTGCAACATGCCATGTGAACGAAACTACCGCAAGAGCTGTAGGACCATGAAATGTATATCATGGCATTCATGACATACATGTCACGTTTTTCATGTTATGACTGGTCAAATATGTTTTCATACACTCATGTTATACCATACCAAGTCTGGTATTGATACCATTATCTAAAGGGCCAGGAGAGCTAAAAGCTGTAGGCGGATAGATAGATAGATAGATAGATAGATAGATAGATAGATAGATAGATAGATAGATAAGATAGATAGATAGATAGATAGATAGATAGATAGATAGATAGATAGATAGATAGATAGATAGATAGATAGATAGATAGATAGATAGATAGATAGATAGATAGATAGATAGATAGATAGATAGATAGATAGATAGATAGATAGATAGATAGATAGATAGATAGATAGATAGATAGATAGATAGATAGATAGATAGATACGCTCAAAGTCACCGAAGTTTGCTAAGAATGTTTCGCAATTAAAATAACATGACCTCCAGCAGGCAGACACCTGCGTCGAACAAGACAAACTCGTCCATTGCCTGGCGAAGGCAGAAATCTGAACACTTACGAATCTGGCAGCACAAACTTCCACTGCTAGCGCAAAATGACCCAAGCTAGCGCCTCCGTGTCGTCTTTGCCGGCAAATGGGTCCCAGAAAAAACAATCATTCGTATAGTGGGAATGTAACTACAGTCAAACCGCCGTGTAAGTGACATACTTGCCCTCTTGCGCACCATCGCGCTAGAGGTGGCCCCAATGATATCTTGAGTCGACACTCGTCGCTATGGCATGCGCAAGGGGGACACTCTGAAACTCCCAGGCAGCCTCATGGTCAGTAGGATGACACACAGTTTGTCATACCAAAGATTCAACGAAATCGAACAGGACCAGGTAGACGCAATGCTCTGCGCGGCCTACAGGGCCTCGACATTGTCACGTATTCCTCTCGAATCTACCATTAAAAAAACTAACTTTACGTTGACCTGGTGCAAACACCAGGCATAAAATAGATATGTGGCTGTATACATGTAAAAGACTTTTGATGTACAATTTCATTGGACTCTAAATTTTTGAACACTTATTCTACTCTCTGAAACTGTGTGCAGTTGTGAAAAAGTGAGTTATGATGTTTATTGAAATCCAAATTTGTTTCCGGACTGTTTGTCAATAAGCCGATCATTTCTAACATTGATCATGAACAAAACATAAATATCCAAAGAAATATTGTCCTGCTAAAGACATTGCTAAGTTCTTTCAGTTTTTCCGATGGAGGTGGAAATGTTGTAGGCCCGTGTGCTCAGATTTGGGTGCACGTTAAAGAACCCCAGGTGGTCAAAAATTCCGGAGTCCTCCACTACGGCGTCTCTCATAATCATATGGTGGTTTTGGGACGTTAAACCCCACATATCAATCAATCAGTTCTTTCAGTTTCTCATCTTTTTGCCCTCTCCCACAACCTATGTACTGAAAAGTTGATCTACGTTGCTTAAGTGCGGAAATTCTGGAAGTATTCACAACTAAAAGATGTAACATTGATGCGAAGTCTAATATCGGCTTATCTTAAATTTTGGCTGTTTAGTTTTGTTTTGATTCTTTTTTCTTTGATTTGACTTCTGTTCTTCTTTCTTCACACACTGCGAGACATTTTCTTTAACTTAGGCCGAACCTGGGCCTGCCATCAGCCATTACCTATAGAACAGGGGCTTATATATCCCCCTCCCTCCCTACCCAATGCAAGGCGCTCAGCAGCCCAATCCAACGAGTGGCGGGGCGGCGACGCGTACCTGTTATCCGTCCCACTTTTGATCCTGTGAGTGAAAGCACGTCTTCGCCGAAGAATCCTCCCGCTTGAGCACCCAGGCTGTGGCCGATGTAGTGGATGCGTGACGGAACCAGAACCCCGGCATCTACGAGCGTCTTGACCATTGTGGCTGCCAGACGTGCCAACGTGCGAGTGCCACGCGCGGCTAGGCTGTAATTGTAGACCCGAGAGCCCTTCGCCCAGTCGACCACGATCACCGTGGCTTTCTCCTGCGATTAATTGAACGATTGATTAACTTATTGGTTAATTGATTTATTGGTTGACTGATTTATTTATTTATTTATTTATTTATTTATTTATTTATTTATTTATTCATTTATTGGCGTTATAATTTCAGATCAGTACTAACGCATACACGTATGTCGTAACTGGAGGATATGCATCAACTTTGACTTCATGGGTTCCATCAACGACGCACCTAAATCCAAGTGTGCGAGCATTTATCCGTTTCGCAAAGGAACTATTGCTGCTGGGAACTGAATGCGCATTCTTGTGCGCGGCTGACACAATATAAACGTAATTTGCAGTGAAATTGAGGCAACCTGTCTGTGGAACTTGTGCGAGAGAGGAAAGAAAAAAAAATGCAGGGAGGTCCACCAGTTTAGAATAGTCGTTAATCTACCCTACACTGGGAGCAAGATTGGGGACTATGAAAGCTAAAGTTGCTATGTTTCAGCAATGTTCGAGTGCAAGTGAACGCATGAGAGGGCCGCCGACGATGGCGGCTCAAGTGGAGATTGAATGCACCAGCCATTCCACGTTGCGCGAAAGGTTTACGGGGGTTCCCGGAAAAATAAATGTAGAAGAGATAGTATGGGGATGGGTGGCTTTGGCAAATACTGCGTACTTTATCGGTCGGGCGCGGAAACGCCCCTTTTACGCTCAGCAATAAGCAGATGGTTCATACCTTTATACTTGCCCTGCCATGGTGGCATAGTGGCTAAGGTACTCGGCTGCTGACCCGCCGGTCGTGGGATCAAATCCCAGCTGCGGCGGCTGCATTTTCGATGGAGGCGATAATGCTACAGGCCCGTGTGCTCAAATTTGGGTACCCCAGGTGGTCGAAATTTCCGGAGCCTTCCTCTATACGACGTCTCTCATAATCATGCGGTGGTATTGGGACGTTAAACCCCACATATCAATGAATTAATTCATCAATAAATCAATCAATCAATGGCTTTGTACTTGCTGTGTTTGCGTTGAAGTGATTATAAAAAACACAAAGGTTGATTTGCATACAGCAGCCTGTGCGTTCCTGCCGGCGTCCTCTGGAGATACGAGATGTCGGATGCTGGAGGAGTTAGCTGCTAGCCTTCTTTTAGAACAACCCAATTGGTTTCTATCGCATTCATTGCTACCGAAGTACGTCACAGCGTGACGTCACCGGTGCATGTGCAAAGCGGCAGTTGGCAAAACACTCCCATGGTGACTGAGTGGAGTGCAGTCACTCGGTGCTTGGAGCAAGAATTTTTTTAAAGCTTAATCTTCATCTCACAGTGACAACATTAGCTGTGGTATGTGTCAGAAAACATCTAGCTGTGTGGTAAAGTGCGTGGTGAAATATTTGCCACGCTGGCTGGCAGTGAACGCACGTGGTGACCTGTGCGAGGAGCAGCGGTATTGTCTTCGAAAATGTGCAGTGTTGACTGTGGCGTGTAGTGCACGTTGGAAGGCATCGGCAATATTGGTTCGCCTTTACGGACGGTGATTGATTTGTGTAGTTTAACGTCCCAAAACCACCATATGATTATACGAGACGCCGTATAGTGGAGGGCTCCGGAAATTTCGACCACCTTGGGTTCTTTAATGCGCACCCAAATCTGAGCACACGGGCCTACAACATTTCCGCCTCCATCGTAAATGCAGCCGCCGCAGCCGGGATTCGATTCCGCGAGCTACAGCTCTGCAGCCGAGTGCCTTAGTTACAAACCACCGCGCCTGGGGTACCATCCATTTATCTACGACGAGCAAATTTCCACACTATGAGCAGTGACCCTTCCGCGACCCCTTTCTTTCGAAAGCTGTGACTAGAATATAGCAATATAGAAATTTCTGTCGAAGGAATTGCAGACACGCAGCTCTGCTATGCAGAAAGATGCCGCCGGCGGAACTTTCTTGCCAACCAGCACCTGCTCCGAGAGAGGACATGCTGGGCAGGGTGCCCACAGTGACATCACACTGTTTACAAACAGAAACAGGTCTATTGTCATCAGACGCAGCGATAAATCGAGGGTGGGTTAGACCAGAAGATAGCACACAGAGATGTGTGAAGGAGGAGGGAGAGACTGCAGAAGGGAGAGGGCGATAGGAGTTACGACTATGCTTGGAGGTGCGTATTCTGAGGATACGCGCCAAGCCTATAAACATATTGATTCGCGCTAAGCATGGTGGCGCGTTCCACTTGACAAGTATTTAAGTCTGCTGTCTTCATTTACCGAAGAAGGGTTCATGGGGCTTTAGTAAAACCTCATTTGGTTCTAGTTGGTACATATTCCCGAGTTCAGAATGTACAGTGTCAACACGCAAGAAACGCACGAAGAAAAAACACGGCTCAGACGCTGACTAGCCAGTGCTTTACTTCTTCACACGTCAGTACACATATATGCCCAAAGCAATTTTACGGCCCAGTGGCACACGGCAATAGCCCTAGCATAACGTGTAACAGGGCTGATAGTGTAATAGATACCCGAAGACATGACATCATATTCAGATTGGTGTAGCGATGAAGAAGTATCACTGATACTTGAGCTCCTTTCCTTATGTGGTAAGCTTTTAAGGCTAGCCGTGCATGCTCATTTCTCTTCGGCCTAGGACCAACGTTTGGCAGCAGGTTTCTCCAAGTTCTTGTGATCGCAGTTGTTGAGCCTTTGATTCAGAAAAGAAAAACAGCAAAGAAAGTGGCTGCCTTACTTACGTGAGAAGTTAAGTCCATATGTGGTCCCTTATTCGCATAGGGTCACCCATAAGCTCAAGTTGCTGGCAGGCGTGGTATCCCTGTGGCGTTTTCTGCATCAAACAAGCTGTTGAAGCTACAGTACCACACTTGCGATGTGAGTAGAGGAGGATACCAGATCCGCCACTGTGTTTCCTACGTTCCGTGCCCCGTCGGTTTGGTTTATGCCTTCCCACTCTCATGGCGTAACACGCATGCATGATCTTGGTCAAGCGGGGAGATGCGTGCATGAGCGACTCAGCAAACATGCGCAAAATGTTAACCAGAATGCTGATGAAAGAGAACATCTTGTTGCTCACGCTAATTTTTGCTGCGAGATTTGAAGAGTACGTCGATCCAAGGCAGAAGTGAGCATGGGCATGCGTAGCAGGTCTTAGAAGCTTACCCACAAGGAAAAAAAGCACAACTATGTATCAGTACTGATTTGTCTCTGCGCCCCACCAAATCATATTGGAGGGGCGCAGTGACAAATTAGCACTTCGCATTTCTAGTACGCTATCATCTTGGTTACACGTTCTGGTTTAGAGCCACTGTTTGTGTGCGCATGTGTGGTAGGGTTGCCTTGGACATTTATAAGCACTGACGTATGAAGGAATAAAGCAGTCGTTAATCGGCACTATATAGTGTCGCGCATTTTCTTCGTGGACGTCCTGTGTGTTTGCGCTTTACTTTTAACCACGGGGCTGTCACTCACGCATTTCCGTTGGTACTTGCCAAGGAGCAGCTTTAAGGTCACATGGAAAGTTCACGTACTGTGGCAAGTATTTCGTCTTTGATGCGCTGCACCCAGTTAGCATAGCCCTTGCTGCGGTAGCCGTGGACAATGAAGTAGAAGGTCTGTTTGGGGTCCAGATGTTTGGCCACAGCACTGAAGTTCCCGTCATGGCGCAAAGCAAGCACGGGCTCTCCCTTAGGTTCGTCCGAAGGTCCTTCATCGTAGGCGTTCGAGTAGACTAGGAATTGTGGATCGACATTCTGCAAAGAAATTTGTACGTATTGTGGAACGATTATTTTGTTCACTCAGTCTCTGTTTCATCATTCAACTTCACCAATACTCTTCACCAATACACGTGCTTCATTTTACACTACATCACGCAACATATGGAGTCGCTTGCACGACGGCTGTTGACATAATCATAATTGATGGGGTTTACCTTCCCAAAGCCACGATATTATCAAGAGACGCCGCAATGGAGGGCTCCAGAAATTCTTCTCAATCACCTTCTCAATCGTCAGTCTATAGTTTTTTTTTTCTCTGCCTCACCTATGCCGTGAGAAAACAAACGGCTGTTCACGTAACATTGACCGTTTCCAAGTGTTCTAGAATGCTGACAGTAATTACAGTAATTAAATTACGCTTACGTCATAATTATTCATTTTACGAATCAGTGACAGACTTTCTACGCGTTTTAAGGCAACACGCGAACGTACACAGTTGTTCACTTTGTTGATGCTATTGTTGCTGCTGATGGTGATTAAACATGTATGAGCTATTTTTTCTTGGTTGGACCTTCAAAACACCCCCTCGCTGATCAATTCCTATGATTTGACGCTTGGCATAATTGTAAGTGATTTGCATTTTCTACTTTTGACTTAATATCTGCCTTGCCCAATGTTATTCCACAGTTAAGCACTTGAATATTCAGTTTGGTGAACTTTCAGCTAGACGAACTGTATTTCCTCGCGTTCCTTCAAACTTACTCGAGTGATAATTCACTGTATATATATATATATATATATATATATATATATATATATATATAAGCAACTTCGAATGAACCTGCCACTTTTTTCATTTCGTAATGCATTGCACCTCACACAGGGAGGTTCTTTTCGAACTGCCCTTTCTTATTTGCTGTAGACAGCGCTGCGCAGACACCTGAGTAAGACATCAGCACCGATAACTAACGTCGAAAAATTATTCACTTTAGCTTATTGCACGTTTGTCATAGTAATGCTGAGTATTGTCCCATCCTCCTCCACCCCCCTCCCCTAAGAAAAAAAAAATACCGAGTGCTATGGTGCGCCAGTTATTCCATTCTTTAGCAAGCGTGTACCTCGGGTGTGCGCGGCCATAAGTGTGCCAGGTTCCGGGCCACGTTGAAGACGCCCTCCAGCCCGGCGATCGAAATGGTAGGCGCACTGTCATCGCTGTAGTGTGTCGCCAATCCCTCACGGAAACGCCTGAAGGCTCTCTCCACGTCTTCGATTTCCGCTGCACTCAGTTCCGCATACTCTTCTTCGTCTTCAGAAGTGTGCAGAAAATGTGGCAAAGGTTCGCAGCAGGACCGTAGTACGCAGTTCCCTGAAGCAACGGAGGATGATACTTGAGGGTGGTTTCAGTTACTTCATTAAGCTATGCCCTACAACATAATGATCTACAACTAATACAATATAGAAGATAACTGTCTGCTACAGTAGACACTATGACACAAGAGAGAGAGAGAGAATGAAGGAAATGCAAGAAGGTTGAAAGGCAAGAAGGTTAGTAACACTTCGTGTACTTTAGTAATATATATTCTTTACACGCGGGAAGTGGAATGATTGAGTAGAAGGAAAAGAAAGAAGGCATGAGTCTACGTTGTTCACAGGCCTCACGTAGGGTATAGCTATACAGTCGGACAGTCGGTCACTTGCCTTCAAGTGCATGCATAACGGCTCCTATGACCTATAAGATTACAATAACTCCATCTCCCGCGTGTTATCTGAAAAAAAAATTGCAGCATAGCCACGGAGTGAATGATGGTGAGTGGACGAAGCTCCGGAGGCACATCGGTAAAACCGTGAATATTCCGTGAATTTTGCCCAGTACATCGTCAAAAACATTCGTCCGTCCGTCTGTCCTTCTGCCTGCCTGCCTGCCTGCCTGCCTGCCTGCCTGCCTGCCTGCCTGCCTGCCTGCCTGTCTGTCTGTCTGTCTGTCTGTCTGTCTGTCTGTCTGTCTGTCTGTCTGTCTGTCTGTCTGTCTGTCTGTCTGTCTCCTATGCATCGCAGTGGAGCGAGCGGCGCTGCGCCATCTCGTGAGCACTCCGAGTACTAGGGGTGGCTACGATGGACAGGCCTACGCCCCTGAAAAAAATCTGCTGTGCACAATGCGTTTACAGGAATTATGAAAAGCCAAAATAGGAGCCTGCCTATTCTCTGCGGCTCTCAAGCAGGTTACAGCGGAGCTTTCACGAATGTCTTAAGCTAATCATATTACATTTGCATGAACGTTTTGGTCGCGGGAACTTTGATGAGCATCTTCACACATGCCAGTCTTGGTCGGTTGTCGCCAAGTTCGATGTACTACACACGTTACGACATCGTGAGTTTCGCATGAAGGCGAAATAAATAGAAGTGTTGTGCCCGGAAGCGTTCGCACGTTGTAAATACATTCCGTTCATCAAGGACGAAATACTAAACCCCCCATTACGGCGCAGCTCCCTTTTATATAATAAATGCACACGTACAATCGTTGTCAAAAGTTTAAGGTCCAGGAGACTCAAGAAAAAGCTGAATAATCCCACTGCTTAGTCAAGCAGCCATCAATTTATATATTCCGCCTGTTTTAAAGCGGGCTGATAGCATGTATACTATGCAGCTCGACCGCATGCAGTCACAAATAGCTGAGAAACTCAAAGTTTTCTCATACCTGGTGGTCCCTAAATATCGCGTGGACTGCAAATGCACTGGAGCGGGCTAAAGTTCACGTGAATTGCCAATCATCCTGTACTTCCTACAAGAAGCAACGGTTAATTGTTGTGTCATTAGCCTAATAAATCGATTGATATTGTGGGGTTGGACGTCTCAAAACCACCATATGATTATGAGAGACGCCGTAGTGGAGGGCTCCGGAAATTTCGACCACTTTAGGTTCTTCAACGTGCACCCAAATCTGAGCACGCGGGCCTACAGCATTTCCGCCTCCATCGGAAATGCAGCCGCCGCAGTCGGGATTCGATCTCGCTACCTGCGGGTTAGCAGCAGAGTACCTTAGCCACTAGACCACCACGGTACCCCCCTCTCTCAATAAATCAACCAATTGGAAAAGTGCATTCACGTACATGTATGACGCTGAAGGGTCACGTGCGCTACACGTGGGCGTATATTTCCAATACACCATGCAAAGTACTCCCAACGTGACATATAAATCTTTACACCATTCTCAGTATGTACACACTTGACAAAAATAACCAGAAAAGTGAGTACAGAAAAGTTTGTCCTCCATTCACCCATGGTGTAGAGCAATGGCATTTTGAGCGTCACAATGCAATTTAGTCACGACATTCGCGTTTTGATTACGTTGAAGGTGCTACACCATCGTCAAACCCCACAACAGTCAACGTGCGCCTGAGTTTCGAAGATAGTCGGTGATCAATACGTACGTCTGTGGGAGCAAGCATCGATACAGAGATGCCAGTATTACCGGAAAGTACAGCCAGGAAAGTCGCTTTATAAGCGCTATCGAAAAAATATTTTACATCGTTTATTTATAGCACTGTTTATATACGATCATTTTCCTTCTTAGTGCATGATACCTTCATTTGCGTTCTTCTTGCACTGACATCTTTTTTTATTTTTAGTTACACCCAATCAACATCAGCGTAAAAACCAGAATGTTGTTGTTTACCTAACATTGTGCACAGCACAGCGGCCAATTTCATGACGCCGTTCGGTAGAGGTGCCTGAAATAAAAGCGGACACGAAGGATTAGCCGCGTGAAGGCTTCGATGTAAGGAATCCACCATCGCATGTATTGCATAGTGCATACTTTGTCACCTATTGCACGCCTAGCTTATGCGAAAGTACTCTACCATCATCAATGTGACCTTAAGCCTTCAATCCCCCAGATCTGTTTGTTGTCGCTGTTCTGACTACTGTAAGTCAAAATTAGCTGTTGTTCAAGTGATGCCGATATTCCTCTCGTATATTCCGCGTATCTCACTGTGAATGTAACTGTCAACGGGCTAATGGTCAAGCAGTGACTGCAAAAGCTTCTCGATATCTCAGTGTAGGCCATAGAATGTAATTATACAATTAATGACAACCATTGTACTAGTAACTTAACGTCTCAAAATCACGATATGATTATCAGAGACGCCATAGTGGAGGTCTCCCGAAATTTAGACCACCTGAGGTTCTTTAACGTGCGCCTAAAATTGAAGTGAACGGGCCTCAAGCACTTTAGTCTACATCGAAAGAGTGGTTTCCGCGGCCGGGATTCAATCCCGCGACCTTCAGGTCCAGACTCCACGGCCGAGAGCCATATAACCACTATACCACCATGGCGGGTTCCCGCAGAGTGTCAGCAAATGCAATGCTCACTGGGAATACCGCCTTTTCGTGAACAACAAACCTAATCGTCAAATTGCCGGAAATTCCACTGTTTTAGAGATTTTGTATTACGCCCCGAAAGCACAGCGTGATAACGATTCGCGTCGTAATGTGAATCGGGTTCACTTTGAGCCGCGCCTCCTGGTGCTCAATGCGGGAAGGACTAAGCCACGTACATGGCGTGCGCAAGCGATGATAAAAACGCTGTGTTATGCCTCCCGATAACGTTGAAATGCTTGTCGAGAGGGACATTATAGAAGCGAAGTTCTCTGAAATGAGATATTGAGTTAAGAGCTCCCGCTCCTGACGATAAACCGAATGTGATGGATACCGTTTGTGTGCCCCTTTACCTGGCAGAATATCATCCCTGCGAATAGCGATATCTATTTCATATCCTGTTTTGTTCTATCTGTTTCGCTGTGGAGAGGTTGAGGTTCATATTACCTCGGCTATTTCATATAAAAAAGTTCTGCAATGAAAAAAATAATAATGAATGTTACACAAAGTGAACAATCGCCCAAAAAAATAGCACACTGAGAACAGTTGATAACACGTTAATGTACAGTTTGCTTGCAAAAGTTCACACTGTCATGAAACGTTCACACGCACACCTTTCTATCTTTACACACAGCATATGTACTAACACATCGTTCCATATATCTCAACGTTTGTATATCACAAGCGCTTATCCAGTTTGGTCTCTACTAAGAAGTCTGTCGGGAAGATATTCGTCTTTTTCCGAAAGTGCATCACAGGCAGTGGTCAAAGTAATTTCTTTGATGTCAGAGGCCGTTTTTTCTAAACATTCTAGTTTCTTTATTTTTTCTCTTTCATTTGTGCACTTTACGCACTCAAAAAGAATATGGCGAACACTTTCATCTGCATGACCGAAGTGGCATTCCAGTGAGTTGGACAGATGTATTTTGTGCAGGACGCTGTTTTTGTCTCCATAGTTTCCACAGAAAAGGAGTCAGCTGCAGTGAACATGTAAAAATTATATAGTGAAAGACTGAGTGCATTCCTGATAGCAGAGGTACATGTTATCTTACTATCTCATTCGCTAGTCCCAATATCACGATTAGTTAAATCAAGCATTGTACTATATAAGCCAGCAAACTAGACGAACGTGGTAAGTTTTTCGTTTTAAAACGTTTACTTTTTTTGTATTTTCAGGCTTTGGAAGAAATGGTTGTTCACGTCGCTGCAAGAAAGCACGCTCGTAACGTTCACCTGCTACGATACGCTTTCCAGAAATGTTTGCGCATCTCCCTCCGCCGAGTGTTGTTTTCCTTCCCCAGTGCAGGGTAGCCTACCGGGGCTCAGCCCTGGTTAATCTCCCTGCCTTTCTCCTTATGCTCTCTCTCTCTCTCTCTTTTCTAAATATCTTTAAAAGCTTTTCGTCAGATTTTCTTTTTTTTTCGATCTGCAGCATTGACGAAGCCGTAGATGCAACATATGCTGCAAACAAGTGAGTGCGAAAGCGGTTCGTATTCGCGCGCTTCAGTTCACTGTGGATGCATGTAAGCCGCGCGCATGCGCATGGTTTGACTACGTGAATGTTTGTAAATACTTGTAACTGCGTGCAAGTGATCACTTGGATAACCCGTCCGCAGTCACACGGCATCATTCGACTAGGTGCGTACGGTCTCAAAGTCAGACAGTGACCATGTTCTGCACACAAACAAATTGAGTTCTGTGTGCGGAAGGCTGCGAATGTGCACACATATCGCTGGCGTTTTGCAGCGTTCATCGAAAGGAGATATGTTGAATTACTGATATTCGGCAGACACGATTAGAATGGCGGAATATTTAAAAATACCTCCCTAAAGGAACGGACTCCACAGGAAATTGCGTACGTACGAAAAAAATTATGCCGATGACAAAGGATAACGTCACCATTCTTTCGCGGCAAATGGTGTCAGCCAAGCGTTATTATTGTCATTTGGTTCCCACCGGAAGTTCCCGTTTTCACAACGATGACGTTAAGCTCCATTTACGGCTGTTTCATCGTTATTTTCTTAACGCATGGGTTCCTATGAAAGCTTCGCTACCACGTATACTTGTCATACTGACACACACCCTGTATAATATAGTTACAACACGTTCGAGGCAAAATAGCTATAGTTGGATGCAGCTTTAGAAGTCCGCGGCATTTCCTCTTCAAAAGCGAATGCACACAAGCCCTCACCAATGGGCGCGCACTCCCGGCTGACGTCATGAGCCCGACTTCTGGTGACGCCGGTTTCACAGAGCTTTGGTGTCTAAATCATTAAACACCATATATGGACAGTGATACCAGATAGTTGAAATTAGCCAGAGGGTATATCATTTATTTCTTACGAATGCCTACTTTAATCTATTTTCCGGTTTTGGCACATACGCACTGCCTTTTCAAGAAATTTACAGCCCATACTCACTACAAAACCGCCTTTCAGGAGTTGCAGAACAGGTAGTCTGCATACCTGCAATATTTTATAGCTTCATATCAAAGAAAGAAAAATGTGGACCCTCTTTCCTTTTACTGAGAACAGTGTCATGCACTCGGTGTGAAGTTTTCTGTACTGATCGATGCAGCCTCGACAAATCGTTCGCGGTTGTAAGACAAAGCCGAAGTGTTAGCCACAAAAGAGCGGTGATCTAGCAGCGCAGTTTTTCTACGCACACCAAGCGTTTGCACTCACGTTCAGAAAGATAGCGGAGATATCCAAGGACAGGTTACTCGGTCCGCTCGTTCGTAGGCGACGCGCCGAGCCTGCGGACGTCTGCAATCTGAAGCCGCTAAATATACAGCGGGGGAACGGGCAACGAGCGCTGATAATAGGTTCCTATCAGCTATCCCTGGATAAACTGTGGAACAACCGACCCACCTGGCAATATTATCAGAACTGACACTTTAGGCCCACGTGTTTATTCAATGTACTTGACGAGATGCAACCGTGCCTGCCTCAGATGCTTTGCTAAGTTTCGAACTTTGTTAAGATTGCTAAAGTAATCAGTGTATTACTAAAATTGTAAAGATAAGTTAACTTCGCCTAAGATTAAGGTATAAAATTGTCTGCGTAGTTGCGTGCTTCACTACAAATGTCGTCGAAAGACGATAGTCTTTTGCAGGCCTCCTTTCGTGCATCGCGTTTTCAGCGCAGCATACTAGAGTCGTTATATAATAATACGCATCTATGTATTTTTACTAAGGGACCCCCCTATTACTTGCGTATAGATGTTGTGCGTCATATATAGGTAATATTTGCTTTTTACTCTACTATATACGTTCAGGAGTATGAACGCAACCACCAGTTCAGCATGGCTGGGCGATAAGAAATGCTTAAACTTTGGCCGGGTGGCAGGATCGTTCCGTGTGACAGGCACACAAATAGACAGACCACAGTTTCTGCATTCTAGTATCACAAGAAAGCCTACGGCGTATTTAAAACAGCGCTCATCACGCGGAGCGAAAGAAAGAAGTGACACACACGATGCTCATCTTGCAACTGAGCCGCTTCACTTCTTTCGTTCATCACTGCTTTCTTTTGCCCACGATTGCAAGCAATGGATTACATGATGATTAATGATTGATTGATTTGTGGGGTTTAACGTCCCAAAACCACCATATGATTATGAGAGCCGCCGTATATAGTGGGGGGCTCCAGAAGTTTCGACCACCTGGGGTGCTTTAACGTGCACCCAAATCTGAGCACACGGGCCTACAACATTTCCGCCTCCATCGGAAATGCAGCCGCCGCAACCGGAGTTTGATCCCGCGACCTGTGGGTCAGCAGCCGAGTACATTAGCCACTAGACCCCCGCGGTGGGGCAGCGATGCGTTAAAAATAACGGCATTAACGGTAACGCGTTACTTTTTCCGGTAACTTAGTAACGCACTCCTTACCGTTTCGGAATTGTAACAAATTGTTACCATCTTTCGGTAACGTGAAGTTTCGCGTTACTCCTTACATTCTATTCCAACTATTCCGCGAGTTTCACGCAGAACTCCTTCGTGTCCAATGCATGGTTTTGAAATGTATATTGCTGTTCTGCAATACGTCGTAGTTATAAAAAGTTGTACGTACAATACTCCAGTGATGTTTATCAACTATATATTCGAAATAAAATTTTCTATCTAACAGCTAAATAAAGTTCTTTGTATGTAAAAATAAAGTTTTTTGTATATATGTATGTCTCTAAGAGCTATAGTGCGGGTATAGGTTTTTATAGTTGCTGCATTTTGGCTGAACCTTGTATGTCATTTCGTGAACACTCGAAATTTTTTTAGAGAATTATATATGTTCAAACAAAAATATATGTTCACGCATTAAAAAAATTTCCCCCGGAACTAAGCTGCCAAAAGATTTCTGCATGACTACACTATCTGAGCCTCCGTCTCTTTAGGGGAGGCACCATTAAAGTGATACCAGATTTGTTGAGAATTGAGTGATGTTTCCTTTGTGGATAGCGTTGATGATGAAGTCTCATTTTGTGCTCAACGTTACACTGAGAAAACTGTCTTTTATTGCGTACCACAGAAATAGAAGCTATCACGTGCCTCTGCAGGCAACATGACGGGCCAATATACATAGTATTGCTGGGGTAAGGCATACTTTATTGAAAGAAATCGAACAGCTAGGATAACAGGCGGCCGTCGTGGACGCAGCCTGGGTGAAAGGCCAAAAGGCCTACGTGGTTGTGGTGGTCGACAGCCAGGGAGAGACACGGAACGCCCTGCCTATACCCACTAAGGATTTCACGGTTGCGGAACAAGCCGCGATTGCTTTAGCTATCAGGAACAGAAAATGGTCATACGTCTATAGCGACTCCAAAGCAGCAATTACGAGCTTCGACAAGGGCCATGTCGCTGGGACTGTGGTTAAACTTATGAACAAAGTCAATCCTATCGATACTGAAATTCGATGGTTTCCTGCTCATATGGGACAAGCGGACGAAACTCGGGTCAACCTCGTTGAGGGGACGAATGACCTGGCACGAGGACTCGCCTGCCGTGCCGGTCAGACCCGATCCGACGCCCACTGCCATTCCGGGGGCTATAAAGATAATTTAATCACTTACAACGACATCACAGAATATTATTACTTGGGGTGTAGGCGATTCCCACTGCCACACGCAAAATTGAACAGCGCTCAGGCAGTCACGCAATGTTTACTGCAAACCGGAACTCACCCAACTCCGTATTATAGGGCGAAGCTTTGTATAACGGCACCCGTTTGTCTCTCGCAGTATGTAACAAGTATAACATTTTGACCTCCAAGGTGGTGCCGGTGAGAGATTTCTTCTGTGCGTTGTTTAACAATAAAAAATAATTTTCAATGTACATGTCAATGCCTGCTAATGGGGAATGAGAGACAAGAGCATTCAGCTTTTAGTTAACGCGCAGGCTGCAATCACCATTAACAGCCATTGGAATGTACATTGAGCACTATCTGACAAGAAAGGGTTGCTACGTTATACTCGCTGGGTGTAACCTCTTTAGCTTTAGAAAGGTTCAGCGAGCATTGAGCCGCAGTGCCATGAATACAATGAACTTGTATATACCATGAATGAACTCGAGGTGGTTAAAAATGGGAAGTAGATACGAAGTGCAAGCCGTAAGAAAGTAAAAGCCGAATTCTCCGCCTCTCATTTCCCATTAGCAGCCATTGGCATGTACATTGAGCACTATCTGACTGAAAAAGTTTGCTGCGTCATACTCGCTGGGCGTAACCTCCTTTGTTTTCGAAAGGTTTAGCGAGCGTTCGGCCGCAGTGCCATGAATACAGTGAACTAGTATATACCATGAACTCGAGGTGGTTAAAGGTGGGAAGTGGACCCGAAGCGCTAGCCGTAAGAAAGTGTGCGTGTGCCACCTCTCGTTTAGTCCTTGGAATGTCCGCTGGATGGCGGTGCTTCTATATGGAGAATATATGATGAAAAGATGCGAGATGGTGGTACTTGGAGTGTTGAATAGATGGACGAACGGACACATAGACAGACGCATGGATAGACGCATGAACGGACGCAGGGCTGCATGGACGAACGCAGGGACAGACGCACGAACAGACCCACGCACGGATGGGCTGATGGACGCATGGACGGTCACACTGACGGACGCATGGACGGACGGAAGCAAGAACGAATGGACGGACGAATTCTTCGCCCCACTCTCCATCATTCACTCCGTGGATATGCTGCCATTTTTTTTTTCTACCTAAAATTCTCCCTGACAGTGAAATTCAAGGCAAGTGTGACGTGTGCAATGGCATCATTGGGATCAGACACATGCCGGCGGGCTGTCCCGCGACTCTCGTCGACACCTAAGAACAGTGGCTTTACTGGCAGACGATGGTGCGGCGAAGCGCGTCTTATCAAGACCATCTACGGGCAGTCCAGAAGGTCCACGATGACGCCGCAAAGCTCGGCCTGGCGGTACCGGGCTTCAGGACACAAATAGAGTTTTGTGAATGAATGAAGGCATACCTGTGCAAATTATTCTCGTTAACTATGTATTTCAAGGTAAATTATTGTTTGAACTAGAAATTTTATTTGAAGCTTAAATAGGAGCTTTATAAAATTGTTACTGTAGCTTTCAGCAGCGAAGGCAATCTGATTCAGATTTATGACCCTGTAACGGCCGAAATAACGTGCATTTTTTTTGGGGGGGGGGGGGGGGGGGTGGAAACGAACAGGTCATTTTTTTTTTGTAGGTAACGTAGGGCGGTAGCGTGTGCCCTTTTTGTTAGCGTAAACAAGTAACGTATTTAGACTTTTTTTTTGCTTACCACATCTTTTGGTCATGCGTGTTAAGCAATGTTTCATATTTGTATAATGGAAACGCACCAACTAGCTTATGCCTGACTTCTTTAATTTCCCCTAGTTTATAATTAAAGTGGTATGATTGTGATCACGCAGGCTTTTGGCGGTAAAGGCAGCAGAGGACCGCCGATGTTGCATTGCAAATCCTGTTTACTTGCCATTGTTATCTCCGGAGGGCAGGGGACCAAGGCAGGCTGGGTCAAGCGGCACGTAATCGCTTCACTTTAAAATTTTGTATATCGATCGCGATGATTGTTTTCTTTCGAATTCGACCAACGGGGAGGGGCTAGGCGGGAGGCACTGCGGTGAGACTCAGCCTAGAGCGAATACCTCAAATGGCGGCCATTTTCAATTATGCATAAGAACGGCAGTATGAAAGATAAACAACTCACCAATGCCAGTACTCTTCTGGCTGACTTTCAATTTGCTCGTTTCCATATCTTAGCTGAGTGACCATCCTAATTAAGCGCGATGATAAAAAAATTGTGCGTTTTTTGTGCAGCATGCTCCCACGCTAAAAGAGAATGTATCTTTTATCAGTATAGTATATCATGGGGGTTGTGAAAGCGAATTGAGGGTGAGGTGGAGACGAGAACGATTATAAAGGTAGAGAGAAAAAAGAGATGAAAGGGAAAAAAGAAATAGAAAAAAAGGAAAGAAATACAAATAAAGATAGAAGGCCAGAGAGAAAGAGATAGATGTGAACTTTGAATTTCTGATGTTATTTTGTCCCAGGATTAGCCGACACTCAGTATTTATTTAAAAAAAAAGAAGTCAGAAGTAACGTTAACGTAACGAAGAAATGTAACTGTAACGAGTTTCTTTCGTATTTAAAGAATGTTAACGGGAACTCGTTCTCAAATTGGGAAACCTCTAACGTGTATATACAACAAGCAAGAAGGAGGAGTGACAGCCCTCCTCTTCTAACCGATCCTCCCCTCACCCACTGAACTCACTCAGCAGGCAGTGAAAGGAAGGAAGAGGAATGTGAAAAGATAAGAATAAAGAGGTCAGTTTAAAGTTGGGATATGCGCCGTCCGAAAGTTTTTCATCAGTGCAGATACTCGTGTTTCAACGCGTTCCGTGTACAGAAATGACAGTTGAGAGGCATTCGCATAAAGAAAACATTCAGTTGATTGACTGATATGTGGCGTTTAACATCCCAAAACCAACATATCACTATGAGAAACGCCGTAGTGGAGGACTCCGGAAATTGCGACCACGTGGGGTTCTTCAACGTGCACCCAAATCGGAGCAGGCGGGCCTACAGCATTTCCGCCTCCATCGGAAATGCAGCCGCCGCAGTCGGGATTTGATCCCGCTACCTGCGAGTCAGTAGCCAAGTACCTTAGCCACTAGACCACCACGGTGCCCCCCCCCCCCCCGCCCTCCCAATAAATCAACCCATTGGAAAAAGTGCATTCACGTACATGTATGACGCCAAAGTGTCACGTGATCTACACGTGAGCGTATATTTCCAATACACCATGCAAAGCACTCCTAACGGGACATAAAAATCCTTACACCATTCTCAGTACGCACACACTCTACAAAAATAACCAGAAAAGTCAGTACACTGTTTGTCCTCCATTCACCCGCGGTCTAGGACAATGGCATTTTGAGCGTCACAATGTAATTTAGTCGCCAAATTCGCGTTTTGATTACGTTGAAGGTGCTACACCATCATCAAACCCCGCAACAGTCAACGTGCGCCTGAGTTCCGAAGATAGTCGGTGATCAATAAGTACGTCTGCGGGAGCAAGTATCAATACGGAGATGCTAGTATTACCGGAAAGTACAGCCAGGAAAGTCGCTTTATAAGCGCTATCACAAAAATACAGAATCAATTTCACATCGTTTATTTACAGCACTGTTTATATACGATCATTTTCCTTCTTAGTGCATGATACCTTCATTTGCGTTCTTCTTGCTCTGACATCTTTTTTTTTTCTATTTTGAGTTACACCCGATCTACATCAGCGATAAACCAGAATGTTGTTGTTTACCTAACAGCGTGCACAGCACAGCGGTCACTTTCATGACGCCGTTCGGTAGAGGTGCCTGAAATAAAAGTGGACACGAAGTATTAGCCGCGTGAAGCCTTCGATGTAAGGAATCCACCATCGCATGCATTGCATAGCGCATACTTTGTCACCTATTGCACGCCTAGCTTATGCGAAAGTACTCTACCATCATATCAATGTGACCTTAAGCCTTCAATCCCCCAGATCTGTTTGTTGTCGCATTTCTGACTACTGTAAGTCAAAATTAGCTGTTGTTCAATTGATGTCGATACTCATCTCGTATATTCCGCGTATCTCACTGTGAATGTAACTGTCAACGGGCTAATGGTCAAGCAGTGACTGCAAAAGCTTCTCGATATCTCAGTGTAGGCCATGTAATGTAATTATACAATTAATAACAACAATTGTACTAGGAACTGAGCGTCTCAAAACCACGATATGATTGTCAGAGACGCCATAGTGGAGGTCTCCCGAAATTTAGACCACCTGAGGTTCTTTAACGTGTGCCTAAAATTGAAGTGAACGGGCCTCAAGCACTTTCGTCTACATCGAAAACGTGGTTTCCGCGGCCGGGATTCAATCCCGCGACCGGCGGGTCCGGACTCCACGGCCGAGAGCCATAACCACAATACCACCTCGGCGGATTCCCGCAGAGTGTCAGCAAATGCAATGCTCCCTGGGAATAACATCTTTTCGTGAGCAACAAACCTCATCGTGAAACTGCTCGAAATTCCACTGTTTTAGAGATTTTGTATTACGCCCCGAAAGAACAGCGTGATAACGATTCGCGTCGTAATGTGAATCGGATTCACTTTGAGCCGCGCTTCCTGGTGCTCAATGCGGGAAGCATTAAGCCATGTACATGGCGTGCGCAAGCGATGATAAAAAGGCTGTGTTACGCCTCCTGATACTGTTTAAATGCTTGTCGAGAGGGACGTTATAGAAGCGAAGTTCTCTGAAACGAGATATCGAGTTAAGAGCTCCCGGTCCTGACGATAAACCGAATGTGATGGATACCGTTTGTGTGCCCCTTTACCTGGCAGAATATCAGCCCTGCGAATAGCGATATCTATTTCATATCCTGTTCTGTTCTATCTGTTTCGCTGTGGAGAGGTTGAGGTTCATATTGCCTCGGCTATTCCATTTCAAAAAGTTCTGCAGTGAAAAATAATAATATTAATGGATGTTACACAAAGGGAACAATCACAAAAAAAGCATACCGAGACCACTTTATAACACGTTAATGTGCAGTTTGCTTGCAGAAGTTCAGACTGTCATGAAACGTTCACACGCACACCTTTCTATTTTTACACACAGCATATGTACTAACACATCATTCCATATATCTCAACGTTTGTATATCACAAGTGCTTATCCAGTTGGGTCTCTATTAAGAAACCTGTCGGGAAGATATCTGCCTTTTTATGAAGGTGCATCTCAGGCAGTGATCCAAGTAATTTCTTTAATGTGAGAGGCAGTTTGTTTAAACATGTTAGTTTCTTCTTTATTTTTTCTTTCATTTGTTCCCTTTACGCATTCAAAAGTAATATCGCGAACATTTTCATCTGCATGACTAAAGTGGCATTCCGGTAAGTTGGATCGATGTATATTGCGCAAAAGGCTGTTTTTGTCTTGAAAGTTTCCACAGAAAAGGAGTCAGTTGCAATGAACGCATAACGACTGTAGCGAAAGACTGAGTGCATTCCTGATAGCAGAGGTACATGTTATCTTACTATCTCATTCGCTAGTCCCATTATCACGATTAGTTAAATCAAGCATTGTACTATATAAGCCAACAAACTAGACGAACGCGGTAAGTTTATCGTTTTAAAGCGTTTACTTTTTTTGTATTTTCAGGCTTTGGAAGAAAGCGTTGTTCACGTCGCTGCAAGAAAGCACGCTCGTAACGTTCACCTGCTACGACACGCTTTCCAGAAATGTTTGCGCATCTCCCTCCGCCGAGCGTTGTTTCCCTTCCCGAGTGCAGGGTAGCCTACCGGGGCTCAGCCCTTGTGAACCTCCCTGCCTTTCTCCTTATGTTCTCTCTCTCTCTCTCTCTCTCTCTTTTCTAAATATCTTTAAAAGCTTTTCATCAGATATTTTTCTTTCGATCCGCAGCGTTGATGAAGCCGTGGGTGCAACATATGCTGCAAACAGGTAAGCGCGAAAGCGGTTCGTATTCGCGCGCTTCAGTTCACTGCGGATGCATGCAAGCCGCGCGCATGCACATGGTTTGACTACGTGAATGTTTGCCAATACTTGTAACTGCGTGCAAGTGATCACTTGGATAACCCGTCCGCAGTCACACGGCATCATTCGACTAGGTGCGTACGGTCCCAAAGTCAGACAGTGACCATGTTCTGCACACGAACAAATTGAGTTCTGTGTGCGGAAGGCTGTGACTGTGCGCACGTTTTGCTGGCGTTTTGCAGCGTTCATCGAACGGAGATATGTTAAGTTGCTGATATTCAGCAGGCACGATTCGAATGGCGGAATAATTAAAAATACCTCCCTATACGGAACGGACTCCACAGGAAATTGCGTACGTACGAAAAAATCATGCCGATGACAAAGGATAACGTCACCATTCTTTCGTGGCAAATGCTGTCAGCCAAGCGTTATTATTGTTATTTTTTTTCCACTGGAAGTTCCCGTTTTCACAACGATGACGTTAAGCTCCATTTACGGCTGTTTCACCGTTATTTTCTTAACGCATCGGTTCTTATGAAAGCTACCACGCATACTTGCCATACTGACACATACCCTATCTAATTTAATTACAACACGTTCGAGGCAAAATAGCTATAGTTGGATGCAGCTTTAGAAGTCCGCGGCATTTCCTCTTCAAAAGCGAATGCACACAAGCCCTCACCAATGGGCGCGTGCCCGCCGCGGTGGTCTAGTGGCTAAGGTACTCGGCTGCTGACCCGCAGGTCGCGGGTTCGATTCCCGGCTGCGGCGGCTGCATTTCCGATGGAGGCGGAAATGTTGTAGGCCCGTGTGCTCAGATTTGGGCGCACGTTAAAGAACCCCAGGTGGTCAAAATTTCCAGAGCCCTCCACTACGGCGTCTCTCATAATCATATAGTGGTTTTGGGACGTTAAACCCCACAAATCAATCAATCAATCAATCAACCAATGGGCGCGCACTCCGGGCTGACGTCATGAGTCAGACTTCCGGTGACGCCGGCTTTAAAGAGCTTTGCCGTCTAGTTCATTAAACACCATATATGGGCGGTGATAACAGACTGTTGAAATTAGCCAGATGGTATATCATTTATTTCTTACGAATGCCTACTTTAGTCCATTTTCCGGTTTTGGCACATACGCACTGCCTTTCAAGAAATTTACAGCCCATACTCATTACAAAACCGCCTTTCAGGAGTTGCAGAACCAGTAGTCCGCATACCCGCAATAGTTTCTAGCTTCATATCAAAAAAAGAAAAATGCGGACCCTCTTTCCTTTTACTGAGAACAGTGTCTGCACTCGGTGTGAAGTTTTCTGTACTGATCGATGCAGCCTCGACAAATCGTTCGCGGTTGTAAGACAAAGCCGAAGTGTTAGCCACAAAAGAGCGGTGATCTAGCAGCGCAGTTTTTCTACGCACACCAAGCGTTTGCACTCACGTTCAGAAAGATAGCGGAGATATCCAAGGACAGGTTACTCGGTCCGCTCGTTCGTAGGCGACGCGCCGAGCCGGCGGACGTCTGCAATCTGAAGCCGCTAAATATACAGCGGGGGAACGGGCAACGAGCGCTGATAATAGGTTCGTATCAGCTGTCCCTGGATAAACTGTGGAACAACCGACCCACCTGGCAATATTATCAGAACTGACACTTTAGGCCCACGTGTTTTTTCGCTGTACTTGACGAGAAGCTGTGCTTGACGAGATGCAACCGTGCCTGCCTCAGATGCTTTATTAAGTTTTGTTTGAACTTAGTTAAGATTGCTAAATTTATGAATGTATTACTAAAATTGTAAAGATAAGTTAACTTCGCCTAAGATTAAGGTATAAAATTGTCCGCGTAGCTGTGTGCTTCGCTGCAAATGTCGTCGAAAGAGGATAGCTCCGCCGCGGTGGTCTAGTGGCTAAGGTACTCGGCTGCTGACCCGCAGGTCGCGGGTTCGAATCCCCGCTGCGGCGGCTGCATTTCCGATGGAGGCGGTAATGTTGTAGGCCCGTGTGCTCAGATTTGGGTGGAAGGAAGCAACAAAAAGGGAGAAGGCAGGGAGGTTAACCAGAAAGACATCCGGTTGGCTACCCTACACTGGGGGATAAAGGAAGGGGACAAGAAAGACGAGAAAGAGGGAAGAGAGGGAAAAAAGGGGGTGGGGGAGAGACTGACAGTAATTTCACTGCAGCGTGTAGAAATCTACCGCATGTCAGAGGCGTTCACACAAGCCTGTCTTTCTCAGGAAACGCAGCAGGGCTTTCACTGCCTTGTGGGCTGTCGAGGCATGTGTACGTTGCTGTAATAGCACCTGCACAGAAAGAGGCCGATCATCCAGTCGCCGCATTGCGTTGGCAAGTACTTGTCTCTCTGAGGCAAATCGAGGACAATGACACAGCAGGTGTTCGATATTTTCGTCGGTGCCGCAAACATCGCACGCCGCACTGTCAGTAATTCTGATTAACGTGGTATATGCTTTCGTGAAAGCAACTCCCAGCCAAAGGCGATAGAGAAGCGAAGCTTCACGTCGATGTAGGCCGGGTGGAGGCCGGAGTTGTAGTGATGGGTCGAGCTCGTGCAGTCGTGTACGTCGTATGCTTGGTGTGTTCCACTCAGGTCAGTGTGAGACTGCGGGCCAGTTGACGAATCTGCCTCGCTGCATCCGCTCTTGAAAGCGGTATCGAAACACTGTTCCCTTCTTTATGTGACGTGCGAGCAGCATGATCTGCAGAATCATTGCCGCCTATACCACTATGCCCAGGTAACCACTGAAAGACGATGTCATGGCCTTTTTGTATTAACAGGTGGTGTAGTTTCACGGTTTGGTAGGTCAACTGGTCGTGGCATCCGCGTCGGAGAACTGATATCAGGCACTGTAACGCTGGTTTTGAGTCAGAAAACACAGCCCATTTACCTGGTCTTTCTTCTGAATTGATGTGTTCCAGTGCATTGCGCAGAGCCTCGAGTTCTGCCGTCGTCGAAGTTCGTCACATGTGAAGTCTTAAAACACCGAGTTATCCCTTGTGATGGTATAACCACTGCTCCACCTGAACTAGACGGCGTAGTAGAGCCATCCGTGTAAATGTGCACGTGGTTACTGTAGTTTTCTTCCAGTAGGGATAGACTCAGTTGTTTCAGGGCATGTGTCGGTAAGTCCGATTTTCTCCTCATTCCTGGAATCATTAAGTGAACTCGCGGCCGGCTCAAGCTCCAAGGAGGAAGCAGTGGCTTTGATGCAGGTGCGTATGTCTCAGCAAACGATGAACGATGCTTGGAGACAATAGTGCCGCATGTCGTGCGGGGCCTTTCAGCAGCTAGACTCGCCAGGTGGTGAGAAGGGGTCCTGGCATAATGCCTGAGGTGCATGCGCATTGTCTCGGTAATAATATGCGTATTTATCGAGTGATCTTGAGCGATGGCAATGGTTTCAGCCGTTGAAGCACTGCGGGGTATTCCAAGGCATATCTTAAGTGCTTGGGCTTGAATGCTCTGAATTGCGCGCAGGTTGGTCTTGCCGGTGTTAGATATTGCAGGTAAGCTGTACCGTAAAAATCCGATAAGCAGCAGTCTTTACTTTTGTAGCATGGATGATATGGGCACTCCCGAATTCTTTCCTGCAAGGAATTTGAGCATGTGATATGTTGCGATCAGCCGCTTCTTCACATAGTTTACGTGTGGAGTCCACGAAAGGTTTCTGTCTATTATGGCTCCCAAGAACCTGTGGCTTCTGCTGAACGATATGTATTCTTCATTAATCGATATACTGTAAGCAGACATTGGTTTCCGCGTGAACGCTACCACTGCACACTTTCCGCAGGACACCTCGAGGCCTTGTTTACGAAGATAGCATGACGTCCGTTGTAGCAGCCTTCTGAAGGCGGGCGCGAAGCTGAGGCCTTGTCACACCTGATGTCCAAATGCAGATGTCATCAGCATAGACAGAAAGTTCTACAGTGCTAGGTAGCTCCTCGACTAGACCAATGAGAGTTAGGTTGAAAAGGGTAGGGCTTAGCACTCCTCCCTGAGGAACTCCTCGGCTGCTGTAATAATCAGGTGTTGGGCCATTCGCTGTCATGACGTAAAATGATCTCAGCTGTAAGTAGCTGTACACCCACATATATATCTTGCCACCAAGACCTACTGTTTCCAAAGCACTAAGGATGGCTTCATGGGTGACATTGTCGTAAGCCCCCTTAACGTCTAGAAACAGGGCGGCGCACAGTCTCTTACAGGCTTTCTGGTGTTGAACATATGTCACCAGATCAACAACGTTGTCGATTGATGAATGGCCGCGCCTGAATCCGGTCATGGATACTGGATAGATTTCGTAGTGCTCTAAATACCACTCCATTCGTGTTAGAATCATTCGTTCCATCGTTTTTCCCACACAACTGGCAAGTGCGATAGGACGGTATGAGGCAATATCCAAAGGAGATTTACCAGCCTTTAGAAGTGGAATGAGGCGACTTGACTTCCATGCCTGGGGAACAGTACCAGTCTGCCAGGAGTCGTTGTATAGGCGTAAGAGTGCCTTCCGAGCTTCGTCTCCAAGATTACAAAGGGCACGATAGGTAATGCCGTCAGGACCGGGTGCTGAAGAACGTCTGCACAGAGCCAGTGCCGCCTCTAGCTCATCCATAGAAAACTGGCATTCCATACGGGGATCACGTGAGGGCGGTGGGTTGTCAAATGTTCCCGTTCTTGATACTGTGAAATTGGAATCACCGGCAATTCTTCTACAGAAAGATTCTGCGACGTCAATCTCTCTGCATCGAAGGTGAAGTGCCAGAGATGTAAACGGGTGTCGCTGACCCAAGGTTGTGCTAAGACCCCGGACAGTTCGCCATATCAGTGATAGGGGCTTTCGTGGATCCAACGACTCGCAAAAGGATGTCCAACGTCGCCTAGCCAGTTTATCCATGTGCCGCTGCATTTTCGTTTGAATGCGTCTAGCCAGCCTCAAATCATCCATGCACTTTGTCCGTCGGTACCTTCGTTCTGCACGACGGCGTATTGCGCGAAGTTTCTCAAGCTCGATGTCGAAATCGGTGCGCTTGTGACTAGTCAAATGTGTATGCGTGGTATTCTGCAGGACATCCTTTATCGAGTCCTCTAGGTTATATGATGAGCCGTCGGTACAGCAGTCTTCCATTAACATTTTGAATTTCGGCCAATCGGTGTACTTGAGGCCTCTTGAGGACTTGGAGCTGGTGAAACCTTCTATACACAGGTAAGTTGGTATATGGTCGCTGCCCCGCGTTTCCAGATCCGAAAACCAGTGCACTTTCCTGGTAAGTGAGCGAGAAACCAATGTAAGGTCCAGGCAGCTGCTATAGGCTGATCCGCGTAAATATGTAGGGCTTCCATCGTTACAAACGCAGAGTTCGTACTCCGAGGCTAAGGACACCAATTTTCTTCCTCTAGAGTTGTCCCTGGAGCTTCCCCATAGGAAATGGTGGGCATTGAAGTCGCCAGTGATCACCCATGGCCTTGGAGTCGATGTCAGAATACCGCGTAAGCGCTCGCAGTCAAGGCGGCTTGATGGAGATAAGTAAGCTCCGATAATCGTGAAAGCAACCTTATCCTTCTTCCCAATAAGGCATACATACTGATTCCCTCATCAGGCGAGGCTCTGTGGTGAACGTAAGTGAGGTCATGGCGCATGAATACAATAACTTTGCTGCAGTCTCTGTGAGTGGAGGACATAAAGCACTCATATCCTGACAGCTTGATTGAAGCACACAGGTTGGGTTCACAAATCACAATAATGGGGAAGCGGTTCACAAATACAAACTGTCTAAAGTCAGACATGCGCGACTTCAGTCCTCTGGCGTTCCACTGAAAGACAGATGCATTCTTGACTTCCGCTCGAAACGACGGTGCCTCGCTGGCCATGGTTTTACCTTAGAGCTGCAAGCACCGGACTCAGGGTGTCCAGCACATGCAGTGCGGTCTGCGCAGCAGAAGTCTTCATATTACTCAGTAGGACACGCATGGTACTCATCAGCGATTGCAGCAAGCTTATCACTTGATCTTCATTCATCGCATCACTGGTTTGAGGGGTCGTCGAGGGCGGCGGGATTTGATGCAGCTCCGAAGTAGGTTGACGTCGTGGAAGAGAGGGCCACTGTTCGGAAGGCGCGACTGCTGTCCCTTTCTTCTGTTTGGCAGTATCCGTCTTCAGTGAGCTCGGTGTTCGTGGGTCAGCCTCTTTGATAGAGGATGACATCTCTCTATCGGTAGAGGCCGTTTTTTCCATGATGGTCTTCGCCCACGACGCCGTCGTCGGCGTAGTGTAGCGGCAGCTTCCTGTGCGTTGAATTGTCCCGCACCATACGCCTGAGTACCGCGTGCTCGTTTCGCACCCGCGGGCAATCTTTGGATGAGGCCTCATGAGCACCGTGGCAGTTTGGACATCGTAGTATGGTGGCACTGCAGGCGTCTTTTGAGTGAGACTCAGCGCACCGCGGACACTACAACTTTGTTCTCACAGACACCTTTTACGTGTCCCATCTTGAAGCACTTGTAG